ACATCATTATCATCATATAATGGATAATAATGTTAATATTATAAAGTGAAGAATTCTGTGTATGTAGACAAGCATTCATGAGGATAGGAACTTAACTATTGACAAGTTCCTTGTATTTGTGATCTATAAAAGAAAAAAAGGTATTACAGAGGGTGGAGAAAACCGCCCAACAAATTATAGGGATTCCACTTCCTGCCATTGTGGACATTCAGAGGTAATGATGTTTGTATAAAGCTCACAGCATCGTTAAGGACCCCTTCCATCCAGCCCACAAACTGTTTACTCTTCTTCCATATGGGAGGAGGTTCAGGTGCCTGCAGTCTAAGACCAGCAGGCTAGGGAACAGCTTTTACCATACAGAGGTTTCCTGCTGAACTCCTCAGTTTGTTTGTCCCCACACATATGCTGATGTCTCCCGTGATAATATATGATGTATTTTGTATAATTCTCTGTGCATCTGTATTTATATTCAATGTGTCCATGAACATTTTGTACAGTTGTATAAGTTCATATATGTGCAGTCACACTTATCTTTGTGTGCTTGCGTACATACATTTTCCATTGACATATTCATAGATGCCTTGCATATTTGCATACATATATTTATATTTTACTGTTGTCTTGCACTCTGGTTGGATGCTAACTGCATTTCATTGCCTGGATCCATGGTAATGACAATGAAGTTGAATCTAATCTAATCTAATCAAGACGTTACCTGCCAAAGTAATGAATTCAGAACATTCTTCTGTCCTTCCTCTGATATAGTTCTATGTTTGAGCATTGATGAGCTCATGGATTTCAATGCATGGGCCACAGCATAAATTGCATTGTAGATGCTATAGCTATGAGGAGTTATGCTCATGTCAAAGACAGACCTAGGAAGAGCCTCCAGCTTCTCCTCCCCAATGCAGAGATTCCAAACGTTTTCCTCTTCCAAAGAATTTGGGAAGGAACAATCAAATGCCTGTCTCCAAAAGTCCTTAATAAAACCATCTCTGGTTTCCACATTAAGGTTTCTTATCTGAAGAAAATGTTGAAAACCTACCACCTCTTTTGACTCAGTTTCAAAGGCTAAGGAACCATGAAGGATATTTATATCCCAAGATCGTTGAAAGGGAACAGAAGTGAATTCTATCTGTGCAGTCATGATCCATACTTTCCCTGTCTTCATTTCTTTGTCTTCAAGTTCCAAAACTCTGGGAAACATTCTCAAAAAGATTGTAGTGTGAATTTCACCATGTAAAATTACAACACTGGTAAAGCTATCACTTATGAAGATATACAGTTTGGTCCATGATTCCATCATTTCATGAATGCCACTTTTAAAATACACAGTTGGGAATGGTTCTATAAACTCAAAACAGATACCACTTTGAGAAAACTTGGGAAGCTCTTTCTGTACAAACCAGAGGCCATTGTCATCCGGTATGAAAATGACACCAATCCAAGTCCATCTGAAAAGCAAAAGCAGTTGAAGCATCCCTGTATATTGTTGGTTTCTATTAGGGAACATCCATTGGAAAAAGACTTTTTGGGATGGGTCATTAATCAAAGGAGAAGATCCATATCCAAGCTACAAAAAAGAAAAAAGAAAAAAAAGGAAGTCTAAGTACGTAGGATTTGAGTAGGCAAACTTTTATTGTCTGAAGGTTGATTATCCATTTTGTATTTTGAAAAAAGATGTGGAAAAAGATGAATTCCTCTTAAGCAGTGGCGCGATTCAAATTTTTTTAGAACCGGTTCTGTGGGTATATCTTGGTGGCAGGGGAAAAGATAATGTAAAATCTCCATTCTCACCCCATTCCAGGGGAAGGATACTGCAAAATCCCATTCCTTCCTCACCATATTAACTTTTTTTCCAGCTCCATTCTCCTGTGCAGGGCAACAAAAGAAGACCCAGCTGATCAGCTGGGACTCGGGAGGCAAAGAATAGATGGAGATGGGGCCAATTAGAGGTGGTATTTGCCGGTTCTCCAACCTACTCAAAATTTCTGCTACTGGTTCTCCAGAAAGTTTGTTCTTTTCATTTGTTCTTTACTTCTTGTTGCAAAAATCACTCATATGCTACAATAAAGATAAATCTCCACCAAAATAATTACCCAAGAATGGGAAAAGACCAAATTAGGACTGTAACAGTGGACAGTAATATTTTCAATCAGGACATGGACAGTGTGCAACATCAATTGGTACTTTTTAAATATCGTAGACTATATCAATCAAGAATATTATCCATTAAGAGTTGTAAATCTAATCTTACAAAGTTTCTCCTCTGGAAATTGCTAACTAGAGCATACAAAGCTTTTGCTAGACCAATACTTGAATAGAGCTCATCAGTCTGGAATCTGCACTGTATATCGGACATTAATACAATTGATCGAGTCCAGAACTATTTCACGAGAAGAGTACTAAAGTCCTCTGCTCACAACAGAATACCCTAGGTCACCATGTTTGAAATTTTGGGCTTGGACAAACTTGAACTACACCGCCTATGGTTGGACTTAAGCGTAGTACACAAAATTATCTGCTACAATGTCCTACAAGTCCATGACTACTTCAGCCTCAACTGCAACAATACAAGAGCACACAACAGATACAAAGTCAATGTAAACTGCTCCAAACTTGATTGCAAAAAGTACGACTTCAGCCACAGAGTGGTCAATGCCTGGAATGCACTACCTTACTCTGTTGTTACATCCTCTAACCTCCACTCCTTTAACCTCAAACTATCCCTATTGACCTCACCCCATTCCTAAGAGGTCTGTAGGGAGTGTGCATAAGTGCACAATTGTGCCTACCATCCATGTCCTATTGTCCCCATTTATTCGTACCTATTTCCTGTATTCTTACTCATGCTTATAACTATTATCTTGTAAGTGATTGACAAATAAAATAAAATAAATAAAATATTATAATGATTTGGAGAATGGTGTTAAAACAGAAGTGGATTATGTTCCTCTCAGGAATTAAATCATATCCTTGCTGGTAGAAGAAGCATAGCCATTTTTGTCAAAAAAAAAATGGAGGTCGTATACTTATTTTAGTAGTATGACTTGACAAAATGAGCAAGTGCATTCTTGTGGCACTCCTTTCTTCAAATTTACTGTGCTTGAAAAGGAGGTTACATGCTACAAACAAACAGGGGTTTGATAATAAAGTCATGTCCACAAAGTGGCATATTTGACTCCCCTCTGGTAGAGGCTGTGGCTTTGAAATCTTTTTGCAGCCAGCTCCATAAGCCTTCACTTCCTATTGACAAATGGAGACCTTTGAAGTGCTGCCTGCTTCAAATTTTGTCCCCTTCATGAATGAAGGCAAATAACCCATGACAATGTTGCAAGATCCAATCTGGGTTGATCACCAGGATCGGAAGTTTAATCTTCCAAACTTTTGGACTCATGCTGGAACACATCTTCAGGGAACTCATCTTTAGTAGAATGTGTCTACATTGCTGAAGCTGGGTTCCAGCACAAGTCTGAAAACTCAGAAGAAAAATACCTCAGATTGATTGATGACTGGGTCAGATTGGATCTATGCCCCTTTCTCAGAACTCCAGGATGGATGCTTTGATGTGCTATTTTAAAATAATTTTTAAAAGATTCGCGTTCAGGATTCATATTTAATGCACAAAATAAACACCCCCTTTAGGAGGATGACACCTTTGTCCCAAATTAATAAAAATTCTTAATGAACAAAACAAGTAAGCCCTACCTGTCTTTTAAAATCTGATGCTCTAGATGTCAACCTTACCTGAGGTAACTTGTAGCTGCTCAGAATGGTTGCCATGAAAAGACATGCGTTGGTGTCAGGCCCCCCAATCACAGCTACAGTAATACTTTGAGCATCACATTTATAGCTTGGAATGAACTTGCTCCATGTGGAGAGGAGCTCCAGTGAAGCAAGATAAGTTAAGCTTCTAGTGAAGTAGTCATTATAAATGTTGAAACCCAGAGAGATGTTACGTAGCATCTGAGTATCATCATTGATCTCCTTCACAGCAAAGACAAGAGCCAAGATGTGCTTGTAGGTCTGGGTCAAATATCTGTAATGAGATTTACCTCCACCATTGAATTCTCTCTACCTAAGTCTTGATAAATTCCTATTCCTTTAATATATTGTTACTGTATTTTTAATATTACAGAATCATAAGATATCTGGAATGAAACTGAAATACTTTGGCCACCTAATGAGAAGGAAGGACTCATTGGGGAATAGCCTAATGCTGGGAACGATTGAGGACAAAAGAAGAAGGGGACGACAGAGAATGAGGTGGCTGGATGGAGTCACTGAAGCAGTAGGCATGAGCTTAAATGGACTTTGGAGGATGGTAGAGGAGAGGAAGCCTGGAGGAACATTCTCCATGTGGTCTTGATGGGTCAGAAACGATTCTGCAACTAACAACAAAGATATCTGGGCAACTTCATGATGGAACTCAGGCACAAATATACCAACACCTAGCACAAACCTTTTTCAAAACCTAGCATAAAAATGCATGCATTTCAGTGAGATGCTTATAAATCTCCAGCTAACTATATTTATCTAGGTGTTGATTCAAAAATGCATGTCAGTGTTAACTTTCATTTTTAACCAGAATATATCTGTTAGAGAAACTAAGTGACCTTAGGTATAAATGGAAAGAGTTCTACCAATGACATACCTTAGCAGGAAATATAGTTTAGACTGTATGCCCTAATCCTAGAGATAGCATTTCCATTGGTTGAACATCCTCATTTTGAAATTTGAGTTTCTTATTATTCCAGCCATCTTTCAAGAATGCAGCTTGGTTGCAAATTCAGCTTCTGCCACACCCTATGTTCAAATCCCACCCTGATATTGTTAGTTTTACTGATTTATATTTTTAATAACTTTCAGTTGTCCTTGATGAAAGATGGAATGTTTTTATCATGGAAATCTTACACCTTACGATTTATGGTTTTAGCTTATGATTTATAATTTACCACTTTGTTATTTGTATGTGTACTAAGAACTTCTGCATCAGGGACAAATTCCTTGTGTGTCCAATCCCACTTGGCCAATCAAGACTATACAAATAAAATATATTCCAAATAAGTTAGTATCAATCCCCCTTGGATGCTCAGGAAAATGGAAAGGAATAATTCTCTTAAAATTTATTGAAAGTTCTAGAAGATGTATAATGAGAATAAAGTAATATGTTACAAAGAAGTGGGGAGGGTAGAATGAGCCTCAGTAATGTCCAACCATATAAAGTTTAACTGATCACCTTTCTTGGGAACATGATGTAAAGTGGAGTCTCTTTCACTGGATGAATATTAAT